GTCACTTTGCTGCAGGCAGAGGGAAATGTGGGCAGAGAGGCAGAGCTGAAGGCAGGCCAGGGGAGAGGGCAGCCAGCCCCGGCCGGGAGGAGGAGCCATCGCCAGGCTGTGTTGGAAAATAAACCTTTTTTAATTAAAACTGGCAATTCTGAGCCGCCTGCTGGCAGCAGCCACGCAATCAAAAGCGAGGAGCTTTGCTGTTTAATATTTAAAGACAACGTTTAATCTTTAAACAGGAAAGTTCTTCTGACTGTTAAAGCGAGGTGGAAAGTGCCAGAGGCCCCCAGACACAGGGCTCCCAGCCCACCAGGCTGGCCATGGCCACCAGCGAGCCAGCGCCACCGGGACCCCCGTGCTGACCGCAGCTGCTCTGCCGCCGGCACCACTGCTGCTCCAGCTCCTCACGGGTGCTTGCAGCAACACAGACCCCTGCTCCTTCAGCGCATATCTCTACGGCAAACCCTGAGAAAGTCTGAGATGCCCTTGGTTTGCTTGCAAGCTGAAGGAGCTAAAAAAATGCCACGAAACCCTTCTTGCGAGGAAATTACACTAATTTTGTCCCTCCTTCTGGTTCAGTCCTGGTGTTGCAGGGACTGGGTTGCTCCCTTCTAGGTCAGACACTGAAGCAGGGCCAAGACCCTGTTGCATTTTATTTTCATCTGCATTTTAATTGATAAAAAACACAGGCATCATTTTAAATAGGTATTTTAAAATGGTTTTAGTCAAAATTCTGATTTAGAGACAAACTCGGTGCCTCTCATCTGCTAAGAACCACCCAAACGATGTTTGCAGAATAATTTTCAAGCAGCTTGAACACACTTATTTCCATTCATTCCAGCTCCTAGAAAGGTCTCCCTTTTTTCCTGATTTTGTTTGTAATTCTATGAAGGCTGCATTTACCTCCCTGCCAATGCTGCTCTGAAGTCAGATGATTATTAATTCTATTTATTTACTTATACAATCCCATAGGCATACGCAGCAGTTCACAGACAAATACTGCCCTGGGTCCCTGATGTAGGGATCTTGAATCAAAGGTAAGCAGACACTCCTGTGATAAATGTGAGCTAACAGCCACAGGAGATTAGGAACACACTGTGTTTCCACGCATACAGCCAGCACCACGGATAATCCACACCCTGTCAGAAGTGCCAGTACAGACAGGTAGGTCCTCAGGTAACCTGCACCTCACATAACCTGCAGAAAATCCAAAAAACAGAGGAGGGGAGCTACTAGGGGATAAGACATGGGGTACAGCAGCCTGGGGTAGGGGAAATGCTGCATGTGCAGAATCACAGCTTCCAGGGCTGGCTTTATAATAAAGCAAAAAATGGTCTGAAACCATCTTCCTATTGCACTGGGTCACAAAACTTCCCAGTGGCCACGATGCATCTACCTCAATTTGCAAAGATCCTGAAACAAGAGCTCCATGGACCACTCCTAGTAGCGCTGAGGGACAGAGACGGTCAAAGATGGTTCTCTGTGCTGGGACAGGAGCACACGGAGGGCACACCAGCGATGCTGGGCAGTGCCACAGCACTGCTTGCAGGGGGAAGAACACAGGTAGGATTTGTCCAGTTCTTATGAAAACGCGGCCCAGTTTGACACGGAGATCGCCTCACCTGCCCTTGCTGCAATCCCAGCGCAAACCAGTCCCCTAACCCCAGCAACTGGCTGGCAAGGCGGCAGCACCAACACAGCTGGGTCCTGATGCCCTGATCCCTGGAGCTTGTTTGGACTGCGCACCATGGTTTATAAGCAGCACAGCCACAGAGAAGATGTTCAAAGGGGTCAGAAAATTCCCAGAACTGGAACTTGTCAAGCTGATGTATTGATCGAAGTGGACTGAATAATGCTCACTCATTTATTTATGGGGAAGTGCCCGGCACACTTCACAAAAACTGGTGTTTGGCAGTCACATTAAGGCAAGATTTAACGTCCTGCATCATGCAAACAGGGCACTTGTGCAGAGATCAGGATGCTCGCTTACATGGGGAGCCCCACAAATCCTTCCTGCGTACACAGGGAGGGACGGGGCTGGTCCTCACAGAGCTGCCGGAGCTCTGCTAGGGTGACAGAGCCAGCCCGGTCCTTTCCACACATGTTGATGCTGTGACCTACTCCGCCAGCCCCTTTGCCCTCCACTAAAGCTGCTGGCGCTGCACCGCCCTGGGTGCTTTAGCTGAAGGGCAGGAGGCAAGAGGGGCTCTGTGCAATAGCACAAGCGTGTCCACAAACCACAGCAGCAAGAATTGCCAGGACCGGCACAGAGCGTCCCTCCTGCCCTGCCCAGCCTGGCAACCCTATTGTTTTCCATGTCCCATCAAGAGGTTTTACATGTTTCACCTGCTATACGTAATTTTAATACTAATACGGACACTTTCAGGCAGGGAGAAAATATTTCCTTTTGGAAAAAATCCTCCCAGGAGCAAAGGGGCTCAGTGGTTTGAGAAGATGCTGAAGGGCGGGTACTAAGGAATTTAAAAAAAAAATGTGTTTTTTGTTGAAAGATTCCGTTAAGAGTTTCCAAAAGATGCCTGAGAAAAACATGTTTTAAAACAGGTAGAAAGCATCCGAGAGATCTCCTGAGCTGCCCTCAGCTTTGGCAAGTGGTGAGCGCTTGCTATGCTCCCCCAGGATCAGGCTGGGCACAGCAGCCTGCCGATCAGAGCCGACCCCCCTGACATTTTCGCAATGGAGAAAATGACTTTGTGACAGCAAAAGCATCTTCCTCCTCTTGTCAT